CAGGTGAATTACGTAGGCTGTTCCAGTACGGGGGTATTCTTCTCAATCAGGAACTGCTGGTTGATCAGGATGTCGTGAGCAAGTGAATTGTTGTAGTGAAGCAGGCAGGATTTTTTTTCTACCACAATTTCTCGCGCACTGAACGAAACAACCCCCACATGATCTCTTTGTACAATTGCTGATTAATCGTCTGCCATTGTGGCAAGAACTCACTGTTGACATATCCCACAGCACACCAAGTCCTGTTACTTTTCAGGGAGAACTCGTATATTGAAATCAAAATGGATGAAACAAGACCACATTTATCAGTTTTCCTGGCATTTTAGTGTTGATAACTTTTCTTCTTTTTTTTTTTTGACTCAGCAATTTGGCATAGTACTCTCCTTTGATGGTGTGACCCTTTTGAAGATAGCCAATAAACAAAACCCCTTTTGCACCACAAAATCTTAGCCCATCACCTCTGCAGATGAAACGACCCCCGTCTTCTTGGGAGCAAGTCAGGAGGGGTGTTACCAGTGTATGGATTGTCTCTTTGTCTATTGATCAAAGTGAAGAACTCAATACTTATCCTGGCTTAGGAAAGGTTGAAGGAAACCTCAATCCTCAAACCTCGTACAGACAATAGCGACGTCTGCTATGTAATCATAAGAATTTAACAGTTGATTGCGATGTTATTTGATTAATCTCTATCATCCCATGCAATTCGGTAAAGCCAAAAAGACACAATAGTTACTGGGTGTGGAAGAATTAGAAACAGAAACATTAATGATGAGCGAGAAGAGAAAAGAGTAATCAGGAGGACAGTAGATAGCGATTGACATTGCATTTAAATTTTTGCAAGGCAATAGAGCCACTAAAATACAAGGGGTTACAGTGTGTGGAAGAATTAGGAACAGAAACATTGATAATGAGCGGGAAGAGAAAAGAGTAATCAGGAGGACTGTAGATAGAGATTGACATTAAAGGTTAGATGAATAGCATGGAGCCGGCAGGGAGGTTCACAGGCGAGAAATCGAGAGAAGAAACTGCTAGCATAAAATTTACGGCTACATCTAGCCAGCTCAACTGTAAATTGATGAAATGTAGACACTAGTCGTGTAAAATAACAGAAATTGATGTTTTGCATTTTTTACTTTTGCCGCATTCAATAAACATAGCTTCATAAAATTGGATAAATTGTATAGATACATTATACATCTTTTCACGCTAAAACAATAAGTAAACACAATTAGTATAGACAATACCTTTCATACATAGTACAAACTCTGTTTTCCAATAGGTTCCTAGTTATTGGACACACAAAGCCGTTGAAAAATTGTGAGGTTTTATCAATTCATTTCTTTGTAAAGTCAGATGATAAAGAAAAAAAAAGAATATATTCCAAGTCACATTGTACCATTTATAAGTTTTAATCTCATAAAGTCATATGCTACACACAAACAAAAAAGAAACGAACAAATAAATCAATAAAAAGACGAATATATTGGCCCGCACCATATATTTGAGTGGTTTAATAAAGTGGCTTTTTACTTGGGTGTGTCCACTTCAGGGCCAGAATCTACGAGAGACGAAGGTCGGACATGTTGTTTTCCGACCTCGTGACATCTGTAGAATTGCTGTCCATCTTTCACGTGCTTTCTTGAATGATGGCCGACAGGTAGATTACACAGATCTGATAGACATTCCTCGGCTCGACGTTGACGCAGGACCGTTGCCGAAGTCTAATACATCAAAGAACACTAAACGCTTATGTTTTGGGCAGAGCCAATTATGTCTACTTTCGCTTTCGTTTTCTCGCCGGAACTTAAGCAAGCAGGAAATATGATTCGGGAATCGCTTTCTAGAAAGGAAACGAATTTTTTATCAGAATCATAGGACGGAATTCAATCCTCAGACAACTCCACCCGTGCCTCAAGAATTGTCTAAAGTGGTACCAAGAAATACTTATTATCAATGAATTACCAGATGTTATATTTATATTTTTGGTAAAACTGGGAATGCGATAAGAATCTATTAATTCGATCAAGTGCTCGTAAATTTGATTAAATATAGCTTTTGTTTTATTATGATTTCCCTGAACAGGTTTAGGATATTGGTCGGTAACGTGCTTACTTTTACATGGAATCTGTCTAAATAGTATCTTTAATTTCATTAGATGGCCGAATGAGATAAGTGAGCTGCACAACTGAAAATAATACAAGGTACATTTTTGGAATTTTTTCATTGTTTCTTACAATAAAAATTGAGGTTTTTGAATGACATTCTTGCTGATGAAAGTATGTTAACACAAGATTTATTTTGCTTTTAATTATTTATTTATAAATACAGATACCTTTCTTTCTTATTTATGTTCCAGATAAACGTTTCCTGTTTGTAAAGCAAAAAAAAAAAAATACCCGTAATCCTTATTTAGTTTCTGTCTATACTTCTGAGATGAGGGATTATGTACACTATTTAGACTATTGTCCTCATCTTTGTCGCCATATTTATTACAACGTTTCGGCCTTTGTAGGCTCCGGCCTTCTTCTGGTGGTTGGACTAAACATTTATTTCGCTCATTAGACTATTCTAGTGCCATGTTTAATGGATGTCAATTATCTCCTGTTAATTCCAAGTTCTCCACTGCCTTAACCGGGTACTGGACTCACACTCATTGCGTCCTGTCACATGATCTAATCAACGCCTTTATCCAAGGTGCCATGTGCCCTCGAGGACATCTGTGTATTAATTTTTGAGTATTATAAACCTAATGTCTCAGTAACAATTTTTTGCCAGTGCTCATATTGCAATTTTTGCTGTTATCAATTTATGTTTTTACCAGAGCTCATATTGCACATTTTGTTGTTATTATCGCTTTTCTCTGGCACTCCTTATTACTGGTTCCCATATTGTATTCATTATTGTAATCCATATTTACACTATTTACATTGTTAAGACAGTTGTGCGTATTTGTATTGCTCTATTCAGGATGTTTCGGCCGTTGCACGCTCCGGTCTTCTTCAGGTGATATACGCTGGAATTTCGAACGGAACCCTTTATTTCGTCCAAGGGTGTACATTGTTCTAGTTATGCGTTCTCTGGATATCTCGGTTTCAGTTACTTCCCTTTAGTAACTCAACACTTTCACCTTTGCTGTGGCCAGGTATTGAACTCGCAACTCTTTGAGTCACATCACATTTGGATTACATCAACCAACGATTTTATCCCTAAGGACACTTGGACCAGTGGATAAAAGGGTTGGTTGAAGTAATCCAAATGTGACTTGATCCAAAGCTTTGCAAGTTCGATACCTGCCCACGGCAAAGGTGAACAACAATTTGGACAATTGAATTACTAATTACTAATAAGACAGTATATATATATATATATATATATATATATATATGAAGGGGGATATACATACATATATATATACTAGCAAAAACGAACAGACAATAAAAAGTGCATACAGGGGTCATTAGAAAATAAGAATACAGATATATTTCTGCACCCTTTCTTGGGCCAATTTTAATTGATTTAATTCCCTTTAAGCAGTAAAGAAAGACATTTGTGTCAGTATTACCCCAACACAGCAAAAAGTGAACGTTTAACATCGGAAACCAAAAGGAAAATTAATTCATTTTAATAATATGTGGAAATATCCACTCTTTACATGAGGAAGGCCCGAGACAAAATTATGGGAAATGTTATATATATATATATATATATATATAACTAATAAACTTAATAACTTAAATTGTACGATTTTAATATATATATATATATATATATATATATATATAACTTTGTCCTTGTTTGGCCGTGAGGAATCCGCTCGCATTGTTTGTAAAAATATTTTAGCTACACCCCTCTCTCTCTATCTATCTATATCTCTCTCTCTCTCTCTCTATATATATATATATATATATATATATATATATATATATATATATATATATATATATATATATATATATATCACCTCTGAGTGTTGTATTCAATGTTCTTTTTTTATATTTACATACTCTCTCTGATATTGAGTACATAATCCGATAAAATATTGCACGCACAACTTAAAACTATATTTCTCCTGCACACACACACACACACACATATATATATATATATATATATATATATATATATATATATATACATTTTATATTTATCAGTTTAGAAACCTGGGTTTCACGCTTTAGCGATTGATGACCACAAAAGCGTGAAACCGAAGGTTACAAACTCCATTTCATACAACTGAATATGTGAGCTCTTTCTCTGATATTGAGCACTTTCCAATAAGCACCACACACACACACACACACACACACACACACACACACACACACACACACACATATATATATATATATATATATATATATATATATATATATATATAGGCCTATTTCGTGTGTGGGTTTTACCAAATCAAAAATAACATAAACTGCCAGGTACTTTTTTTTTCCATTCTTGTCTTCTGTCTCGTCTCCAATTCTCGAGTTTATATCTTTTACTCTATTCACGTTTAATTCTATCAACCATATATTCTCTGCCATTCTTATCCATTTCCGCAGACATTTGTGTTATTTACATTATATTTTTACTTTACATTCACATTGTTTATTTATCCGCAAGTCTTAATCTTCAACCGTAACGATGATTTCCTATCTTTTATTATAGTAAAGTTGAAGACTTCTTTCAATCTCCCAAGGCGCTACTTCATTCCTTTGTGATCCAGATGCTGTTTTTCATTCCGTTTATTATTTAATATTTGTTCGTCCCTGCAGTTAATTCCTTCATCTTTTTTTTCTTTCGTTCTTTCGTTTTGATGCATTTAATCTGTTTTTTATTGCTTCTTCTTCTTCTTTTTCTTTTTCTACTTCTTCTTCTTCTTCTTCTTCTTCTTCTTCTTCTTCTTCTTCTTCGTCGTCGTCGTTGCCTTTTTTATTACTACTTAAGCATTCTTACTGATATGTATGGAAATTCACTTGAATCCTAATGTGAACAATCGTAAATACTAAATGATATGTTCGTTTCGATTCTTACTCTATTTATCAATCGATCTGTCCATCTTACTATCTATATTTTTTAATATCTATCTATCTATCTATCTATCTATCTATCTATCCATCTATTCATCGATGTCTGGTTCATATTCATCTATCTATCTATCTATCTATCTATCTATCTATCTATCTATCTATCTATGTCTGGTTCATATCTATTCATCTATCATTCTATCTATCTATTCATTCATTCATTCATCTATCTATCTATTTATCTATTCATCTATCTTTTTTTTTTTTTTTTTCTTTCTTTATGTCACTCAGTTTCTAACTTGGTCTTATTCCCTCTATTTCCCTTCACTCTTATACTCTCTCAGTCACATTTTCTCTGTCACTATCTATCTATCTATCTATCTATCTATCTATCTATCTATCTATCTATCACTCCCTTCATTCTCACTCACTCTGTCTGTTTCTTTCTCGCTCTCCCTCTCTCTCTCTCTACACACATACACACAAAGACTCACATACACACATACATACATATCTCTATTTAACTTAGTCTGTTCCTATCTATCTATCTATCTATCTATCTATCTATCTATCTATCTATCTATTGTTTTTTATTTTATTGTTATCGATGATAATGATACTGTTTTCATTTGCTTTGTAACTTGCTAATGTTGATGTCGATAATTTATTCTCATGTTGCTAATGCTTATGATTGCTATCCTGGTGATGTTGAGGATGCTGATTTTAATTCAATATTATCTTGATGATGGTAATGATGTTTTAATTTCATTGCTATCTTGATGATGGTAATACTGTTTCTATTTTATTGTTACCTTGATGATTGCTGGTGGTTTTATTGGTATGTTTTGTTGCCACTTGCAATCTACATTCCGGTTTTCAGCATCTTCCGAACAAAATCATTGTAGACTCCACTTTATTGAATTTTGCTTTCGTTCCTTTGAAACACTGGCATATCTTTTCCTTTTATAAGACTATTAAATCCGATTTAGAATTTAATAGACATTCAGGATTTAAATCAATTTAAAAACAGCTGATTTAAATCAATAAAAATCCCTAAATATAGGATCCATTTTTCTTTTGACAGTTCCATATTTGGACTGATACAAGTTATCTTGGTAAGATGTAAATCGTTTCTGCATTTCTCCGAATATAACCGTACTTACCATCTCTGCCTATATATATATATATATATTTATAGATACAAATATTTAAGTAAATGTTCTGTTTATAATAATAAACAGTATTAAACATTTACCGGCCTGAATGTCCGAGAAATTTTCACAGAAAATATTCGTCCTCCGACAGGAATCGAACCTGTAACCTATACGGAACCGTCATATAGCCTGATGCGACTTAACCATTTCGCCAACAGAGGAGCGTTCGGTTAACAATGTCGATTTTATTGTCTTGAAAATACTATCTTTCATGACTCTCTCTCGTACATTCATATCTGCTCGATGCGTATCCAAATGTAAACAAATGACGTCACATATTATGAAAGGGACAAAGTCCGACAATTATTTTAAGAGATTTTTATGTTTTTATTAACGTCTTAAAAATAATTGTTCGGACTTTGTCAATTTCATAATATATATATATATATATATATATATATATATATATATATATATATATATATATATATATATATATATGCATATGCATTCAGGGTGGATCTGGAAATAACAACAATTAATAGGTGGTTACACGCTCCTCACATCCTCCAGTCATCCGATCAGAGGCCTTGCTGCCGGATGTAGTTTATCGTTTTACCCAGGACGTTAGAATATTAGTGACATGGCCGGTATTCATATAACCAATATTCGTAAAATTTACATATGTTGCATATGATGTTCCCTCGTATTAACTACCGAACTTCGCCATATTAATCACAAGGAAAATGCAATAATATACACCATTTTGAATGGACGGCTAAATATATATCATGCGGTGTATAAATAAACGCCCACAGAAAACATTTAAAATATATATATATATATATATATATATATATATATATATATATATATATATATATATATATGGTCAATGGTCAAAAAATACTTTTTGCAAACACTAGGGCGGATTTCGTCAGACCCAAACAAGCATAAATGTTCATATAAGCATGCCCGCAGATCTTTCATTTTAACAAATGTTTACGTTAGATGGCGTTGTGTTGCCATGTAGACTAGGTTACATTTGTCATTCGTGTGCACTTTTGGTTAGTCATTCTTCAAAGTTTAACGTGTGTAGTATTGAGTTAACTGAGAAAAATCCCGTTTAATAATGTCAGGATATTCATATTATGTCCAGGCAGATATCATTTTGACATTTGGCAGCTGGAATAGTAATGGACGCGAGGTTGCACGGCCGTTGCAGATGCCTTTTCAAACAGAAGAAAGCCGAGTTATCCAACATTTACTGATCTTTGTCGTTGCGTTGCTGATAAAGGTTTCGTGGTACCATAAACTGACCACAAAGAACACCTTCTAGAGGTTGTCGAAAAGGTTCCAAGTAACAGCACACTTAAAATGTCTCTAGCATTTCGTACATCTTATAGAATCACATGGAAGGTACTTCAAGAGAAGCTCCTATATCCGAACCACTTGCAACGTGTGCATCAGATTTCTCGCTTTCTGATCACTTAACACTGATAAACTTTTGCCGATGGTTTATTGTACAAATTGTACAACCAACCAATCCCTTGTTTGTATCTTGATTCTTGTTTGAAGCGACGGTATAACAAATTTACACAACCAACATTAATAACACAACCAACAATAATAACCCCAAAAGCGAAGTATTTCCGGACATATGTTTATATAGACATTTGCCCTTGTTTTGTTGTTAGGAACACGCCCCAAAAATATCTACAAGTATTTTTGATACACCATATATATATATTTTTTTCCTCTCATTTCATTGTTGGAAGTGTTACCTGATGATCCGAAATCCTTTGAAAAGTATTTTGGTGAAATAAATTATTGTAATGGTAATTTTAAAAGTGTCTGTGTTTCATTAAAATTTATATATATATATATATATATATATATATATATATATATATGTGTGTGTGTGTGTGTGTGTGTGTGTGTGTGTGTGTGTGAAAGTGTATATAAAAATAAATAAATATATATATGTATAATTATTTATATATTATATGCATGGTACTTATTAGAAAGCGATCAATATCAGAGATAGAGCTAATATATTTGTTGGATATGGTCTATCCAACCAAAATATATATATATATATATATATATATATATATATATATATTTACAGGTTTACAGAGTTGTTGTACTTGCCATCCTTTTGTATGGCTCAGGGTCGTGGACTCCGTACAGGTACCATATACGCCAGCTGGATGTTTTACATAAAAGCTGTCTGCGTGCAATCTGTGGAGTTAAGCTTCAAGATAGGACATGTAACGTAGACCTGTTTAGCAGGTGGTATATTGGAGGAATCGAGACTTTTATCATATAGTCTCCGTTACGGGGGACTGGTCATGTCGTGAGAATCTCTGATGACAGGATACCCAAGAACATAATGTATAGCCAGTTAGATCAGGGCTACAGGAATGTAAGACGCCCATGGCTAAGACACAAAGACAAGCTGAAAAGCAACTTGTCAGCAGTAAATATGCCACATAACACCTTTGAGCGCTTAGCCTTGTAGCGGGTAGAATGGAGATCAACGTGTTTTTGTGGACTCAGCAATTTTCAATCTGCTTGTCTGAATTATCTTCAAGAAGCCAGAGCAAGATCTAAAAGGTCATCCAATCTAACAGTTATCTCATCTCACAATCCTCACACTTGCTCCATATGTGGCCTCCTTTGTAAATCACTAGCGGGTCTTAAATGCCACTTAAGATTATCGCACAAACTTTCATACCTGCATCAATAAGCTGTCATATCCTCATAAGTCGAAACCGACGGGAGAGTCCATTATATATATATATATATATATATATATATATATATATATATATATATATATATATATATTAGGGAATATACATTATATTTAACGTCGATTGCACGAGTCGGATTTTCATGCAAACCTACTGAATGCCATTCTCATCGTTATGCGATTTGCTTTTTTGTGGTTATGATTTAAAATGTTGTGTTAAGTCTTGTTTAATTAATTATTTTTGCCTAAAATAGTATAATTAATTATTTATGATTTATATAATTCAAATTCTTAAGGTCGACAGACGAAGAATTAAAAAATAAAAAAATAAATTGAATTTTTTTAAAAATTAATGTAAAGACATTAAGTATCAAGGGGGATAACTTTCTATCTTGCATGAAAAATGGAGTCGTTCTATCGACGTTGGATATTATGTATATTGGCTAATATATGCTTAATAGCTCTGTTATATAACAGTGAGCACTGTATTTATAACAGCTGAGAAATATATATGTGTGTGTGTGTGTGTGCGTGTGTATGTGGTTGTACGTGAAAGTATATGTGCATATATGTATATTTTTAACATAACCTATCTCTTCCTGTAAGAATTTTCTCTTTTTAAAATAATAAAAGAACACGAATAAAAAAAATAAATAAATAAAATAAATCCCTTTTCTTTTCTCAGCATGCAAAAAGAAAATAAATTGGAAAGGCATTCGTCAGTTGACGCCGATCCCAGAATTCCTTAACGAAGCTTTGTTTTCTTCTTTTTTTTTTTTTTTTTTTTTGTCTTTCTTCTTTGTTGTGGTCAGACGTCTGCGTATGAAACTCGAGACCAGCAAACCATGACATGAACATAAAAAAAAAAGTGATTACGCACTCTTACCTTACATCATACATACCGTAGTACCATTCTCCTTTACTGGCAAGTTATTATAAGCAATGAAAGGAAAAAACAAATTTCACCGCTCTGTAAATTCCGGCTATAATGAAGAAGCCTTTACAAATATTTCTCATAGAATCACGTATACCACTGGATATTCGGGGAAAGGAAGAATCCACGGCTATAAACACCGTAAAAATCTCACTTTCATTATTTCACGAATAAACTTAAAACTTTCGATAATACTATATCGTTGTTATTCGATTAAATTAATTATCTTTCCTTTTTTTTTAACTTAACGTTTTGTTTAACTTTCTGCCTGTTCATTGTTGCTTGTTTTTGTCTATTCATTTCCTCTTATAGCCTATTCTGTGTTTATGCTTTTTATTTTGTTTTTTTTTTTTTTGTGGGTGGAGGATATTAACACATTTGATAATTAATTTATGTCCATCGCCACAGTTTTTTTTTTAATCTGTTTCTGCCAAGCAAAGTAAAAATGCGACTAAGAGCGTTACTGGGAGTGAAAGAGAAAGAAAATATTTTGGAATGAACCGGATACCAGATCCTGCACAGGGACCATGGGATAAGTCAAAAGAACGGAGAGGATTGTGAACCGGACGATTATCCATTTGACCCATTCGATGATGTTCCGGTTTTTAAGAAGCCGTTATCGCAACGTAAACAGGGAACAGGTAATAAACCGCTACAGTTTGTTTTTTTTCACAAAACCGGAAAGGAGTGTGAACTGGACGATAATCCTTTTGACCCATTCGATGATGTTCCGGTTTTTAAAAAGTCGTTATCGCAACCAAAACAAGGAACAGGCAATAAACTGCAACTCTTTTTCAAAAGACCGGAGAAGAGTGTGAACCGGGCGATAAGCCATTTGATCCTTTCGATGGTGTTCCGGATTTTAAGAAACCGTTATCGCAACGTAAACAGGGAACGGGTGATAAACCGCTACTATGGTTCAAACGACCGGAGAGGAGTGTGAACCGTGCGATTATCCATTTGACTCTTTCGATGTTGTTACATATCTTAATATGCAGTAATGAAAACTTCTGGAATTATCTTTTTTTTTATTTTTTGTCTCTAGTTAAACTGTATATATATATATATATATATATATATATATATATATATATATATATATTTATATATATATATATATATAAAAAAGGCTTAAACACTAATATTTCATGGTCATAATTTATTCCATTGGAATCGTAAATACGATCCAATTCACCAGACGTACAAATTCAAAAAGAAAACAGAAAAAATAACTCCGGAAATAAAAACAGAATTTAGAGAGAGTGTAAGTATGAGGAGGAGGCAGATTAAACCTTGACAGAGAGAATTTTAGGAGAAATGGGTGGAAGGGGTCTAAGTAAGAGAAAAATGAATGCTGTCGGATTGGAATTTTTATTAAAAAAATATACATGTATGGGTATTTATATATTTTGCATATGTATGTATATTTACTACTAATATTATATATATATATATATATATATATATATATATATATATATATATATATATATATATATTCCCAAACAGGCCTATGTCCATATTTTATAAAAAATTCTAATGTAAACTGCATTGTGATTTTATTTTTGCCCTGCTTTAAGATATTACGTGATATTAACAATAGTTGATATATAAACCAAATTAGCTATCCTAACCACTTTTTCTTTTTCGTTATCATTCTGTTGTTCTTCATCCTCCCCCTCCATTCCAGCCGTGATTTTTATTTCCCATCATTCCATTTCTTTATCTTCTTTCCAACCATATTTTACCTCCATGTTTTCATGTTCGCTTTTGCTTTCTTTACTTTCGTGTTTTATCTTCCCTACCCCACCTCTTCCGGTCTCTGTATCATACTGACCTTTTGTCGCATATTTTCTTTAGTTTTTACTTACACACTTATTTTCCCTATCCGTCTTCCTTTACCACTTTTTGTCTTACCAACTTCGTTTCCGATTTGAAGACTTACCCTTCGGCCATTATTCCCATCGCAAAAGACAACAAACATAATTTCCTACCTTCAAATCTAATGATTCATCTAATGCATGGACAAAAATCGCACCAGAAAAGTCCTCAGGGTTTGTTACGGGTTCGATTCAGCTCGGCATCAGACAATGACGGAAGTGCTTTTTGTCAAAACAGGGACGCGGTGTACAATGACAGTGATGATGTATTGCAGCTTGTTATAATGATGATGCAAAGTGATATTTCATATAAAGCGAAGCTGGATAAGAAGACTGGTTGTGGCCATAGTACTGAAACGGGGATTGATAAAGGCGATGTGGCTTATTTTGCTGCGAAGCGTGTTGGTCGGTAAAAAGAAAGTCTATAGAGACAGCGAATGACAATGAAATCACAAAGGACTGCAATAGAAACTGACTTCAGGAGTAAAATTCCGGTGTGGGGGGGAAGTAACCGGCGGTAGGTGGGGACAAAAGAAATTCTTGAAGAAGAAGAAAGCAAACGAGAAAGAAAAAAGAAAAAACAAAAGAAAAGAAAACAGTAAAAGAAACAAGAAAAAGAGTAGGAACAATGAAAGAACGAACGACCGCAAGGAAAAGAAAGAAAGAAAGAAAGAAAGAAAGAAAGAAAGAAAGAATTTTAATAGAAGAAAGAAAAAAATGTAAAAGTGGTAGAGAGAACAGAGGGAAAAAAAGGGA